ACGTAATATTTTAACCGTAATATCACATAAATCTTACGAAATTGTAAACTTACGTAATATTTTGAAATTTTTCAAAATATTATGCCATAAACTTTCGTAAACTTACAAAATCGTAAACTTACGCAATTTTTCGCGCTATAAAATTTCCTGATGTTGGATTTAGCTCACAGGCAAACATCTGATTGAGCGGAGATGAAATTCAAAAAGAGAAAAAATAATAACACATACAAAAAGGACTAGATCAAAAAAGAAAAATGAAACACAACAATAAAACAACTTTTACAAATACTAGAATAAATAAGATAAAAGAAAAAACTAGCTGTTACAAACTCTAGACCTTGGATGCTATATCCAGTGAGAGCACAGGGTACCCTAGGATACAATATAGCCTGTTTTAGCCATTGATCCATAGTACGTAGCGTAAACAGAGTGGAAGAGATAGAAGCCTAGCGGCTGGTACCAACTATAAAGAGTTAGTAAAGAATAAAACCATTCCAATATCAGTAGAAGGAGACAAGGAGTTAAAAGCCAAAAAGAAGATCAAAAATCCAGATTTAAGTCCATAAGTTTGTCTTTATATGAGGAAGTGGTCAAACCCAAAAGGGAATGAAATAAATATATAATAAGGAGTGGAAACAATCTCATAATAGAGATGATCAACAAGGTTCAAAATTGAATACAAATATCAGAAGTAGGTGAAGGCGATCAATCACATGATAAACATGATGATCATTTGGAAAGGGTAAATGCATTTTGGATTAATTTCTAAGATGTGCAAATTAGAGGAATGTAACACAAATTTTCACAGCCCGCCATATATACTTCTTCAACTAGTAGAAACTTCATTGATAAGAACTTCTTCCAAAGACGAAGGTCTGGTTTGCAAACTGCTTGGCCAGTAAGCTTTAAAGGCGTAGAAACCAGACGCACTACTTTTCAATCTTTCAGAAAGCCAGGGAAACATTCGTACAGAACTGCCATCTTACAATGTCATTTGATAGCGACTAGAACCTTAAGAATAATGTTTCTAAATTTCATACAGTCTTTTTGTGAATGTTGGGTAAAGCTCATACGACGTGAAAGAACTTAGAGCACCTCGAAAAGACTTTTTGTTAACCAAAAAGCAAAAAGTCCTTATACTTTTCATCCATTTTCTTCTTTAAAAAAAATGGCCAGAGCAGCAACGGGAAAGAGTGTATGATCAGCCTTTTCTCTAATTTGATTTTTAGCAAATTAGGTCTATTTTAGCAGAAGCAAAAAGTGGTAAATTTATGCAGATTAGTTATGAGTTATATATGTAATGTCCGGGTCCTTCAATTAGCCTAAACTTATTAGAAAGTAAATTATCGTTAAGATATTGCATTTGAGATTTTACTATTTGTGTATACCATCTAGTGCAGTAAAATCCCACAGTAAATTTCACTATACCCCTGTTAGTATAGTAGTGACCATCAGGACAAGAACACATCCAGATGGTATGCAAGCAGTGACCACTCAAATAGAACTGAACAATAAGCTTATTAAAAATCTTTTAGAAAATATTAGAAAGATACTATGACCCTTTTTTAAAATATGTCACTGATCAGCACACAAAATCTATTTAGATTTTCTAAAAGTTTTGATAAATCCATAAAAATTTTTTAAATCCAGAATTTTTTTGGATATATTTTATGAATGCCAGAATTTTATTAATATATAATAAAAACATTAAAATATTAATTCTCATTTTCTTGAATTAAGCTATTATTAATTCTTTAATGCTTAAATCTATATTGTAATAAAGACACAATGAAAATATTTGAGACTTTAGAATATTGATAAATTTATGCTAAATTGCCAATTAAATAAAGAAAATTTTTTTTATTGGTTTCAGTTAAGCCATACAAACTTGATTTTATGGTTTTCATAATATAAAAATTTCATCAATAACCCAGCAACCCAGCTTTTAATTTTTTTTTTCAAAAATTTTATATGCAAAATTTTTTTTTAATTTTTAAAAAATTCTCACCCAGCATAGTAATAATATAAAAAATTTTTTTTTAAGACTTAATAAAACTGACCCGGCCGGATTATGAAAACCATTTTTACCACTTTGTGTCGCCTTACATGTTCTGATATAAAAATGAATTTCCAGGATTTTTAGATTTTTTCAGAAAATTTCTGGTATTTTTTCAAAAACTTTTTGTATGCTGCCGCTGACTGGTATATTATACATGCCACCCAAATTATTTTGGACTGCCGTAATTATAAGTAAAATCCCAAATTCAATTATGGCATCCCAAATTATTTTGGCACTTTACATAGTAAATTATATATAAACCGAATGAATTATGGCATCCCAAAATAATTTGGGCAGCATGTATATGGTATATATTAATTTACCATAATGCAGTTCAACTACACCAATCCCTGTACTTTTACATTATTGGTGATAGTGTCTGCAGTAAAATTCTTTTAATTTCTGTGATCAGTAGAATTGAACTTGTGATCTTACCATAATCAGGCTTTATAAGAGTTTTAATAACTAACTACTAAAATAGGGTGATTAATCTTATATTTATATAATTTAATAATAGTAATAAAAAAATAATTTTTATAATGTATATTTCCAACTTTTAAGATTGTAAATAAATTTTGTATTTAATATAAAAAATGTTTTTATTTTTATAACAAAATAAAATATAATAAAATTAAGAAAATAACTATGATAAAAAAGAATAATATAAATTTTCAAGATGAAATTACTGGAAAAAACACAAATAGTACCCCCCTTGAAAAATTTATAGAATTGTTATAAATAGTTGAGGTAAGAAGTAAAAACTGTGAAAAATATTACTTTTTATTTATTTATTTTATTTATTTTATTTTTAGAAGAGTAGTTATCAGTATCTATAATATTAACAGTATATATACATAGAGGAATACAGCCATATAGAAACTATTCAGGTTATTAGAATTGCAAATTTAATCTTACAAAATAGACTAAGCAGTTATGCAAGACTTTACTCTTTGAATTAAACTATACTGGTAGGAAAACTACACTACTACTAGCACTAAAAGTAAAGAATTTTGGTAGTCTAAAATAGGATTGTTTTCTTTAGGTATCAACTACTGAAGTAATTTACTATTGGTTAATACTATGGTTGTAACTGAAGTCAGTATAATACCATGATTTACACACTTTTTTACCACTAGGGTTACGATTTACACTATACTTGTAGCCAAAACCTTTTCACGTGATTTTCGGCTATGTCTTTAAATCAAAATTAAGTTAAAATATGATAAAAATCAATCTCTACATCCAGCCGAAACTATAATATAAAGTCTTTGGAGTTTCAGATGGATTTCTGGATAGTTTTTAATAATTTATTATAATTAAATTACTGAAAGTCCGAAACCTTATCCAGCTTCATAGAGGTTTCGGCTACATGTATAATTTACACCCTCTAGGCCTATAGTATAGGTATCCATTGGCTAGATGGATTGAACTTATGTTCTTTATTCCTATCTTAAAATAATTATAAAAGTAGTGCACCATGCCAATGCACTAGGTCAGCCATGACCTTAAAATATTACTTTTTATTGATATATCAACTATTTTTAGATTAATAATACAAAATCACATTACCAAAATTTTTTGGAACTACCCAACAGCACACCCAGAAAAATTATTTGATCACGTGATAATTTTACCAATCATTTACAAAATAATTTTTTTTTAAATAAAACTTGAATAAAATTTAAATTATATATTATCCATAATTTTACATACTCTACAAGTTTACTTATGACTTTTTATTCTAAGTAAACTTGCTCAAAAGGCAAAAATACGTATATTTTGCAAATTTTAGGGTCGTATAAAGCATGTGTTAAGTTTTATTTGAAATTATAAAAAACAATATATTTTTTTTATCGCCAAAAATTAATCAACTAATTTAGGAAATGATCAGCAAAATTATCACGTGATCGAAGAATTTTTCTGTATATAGTTCTGTTAGGGTAGTTATTTTTTGGTGGTGTACACCTGCTAATAAAAATAAAAATATTTTTTGGTGGTGTTCTTGGGTAGTAACTGCGGTCCTCGATCATACAATATACTGTATAACTACCGTTCCAAGAAATAGAATTTCCCTTTTCTTTACTAAACATGAAATGATTTTTCGACATTATTGTAAATTCCCTAGTTCTATCTCTTAACCTATCAGAAATCAGAATCGTTACTTTACGCGTGCATTAACTTCGGAGATCATTTATGTAACGAAAAAGAATTTTTTTAAAAAAAAAAAGAATATTTTGGGTAACAATTTTAAAAATATGAATAGGTAATTTACATGAGTTTATTTAATATATGAACATTTCAACTGTATAATTTCAATATCAGGTAAAAGCAATTCTATTTTAATCTTAATATTTATCACTACTTTTTTTGACATTTACATCTAAAAATTAATTATAATTGTGGAAACTATAGTTTCTAATAATATATTATCATTATAGTAAAATTAATAACATTATTTACATTATATATTTCTTTAATGTTATTAATTATAATTATAAAGCATTAATAGTAAAATAAATGAATATACGTATTTAAGAAAATAATTCTCGCAAATCTTCTATTCGATGAGCTTTCAATTCATCCTTGGACATTCCTAGACCACAAGCAATCGCATTCTTACGTTTCTGAATCGAAAGCATTTTTTCTTCAATAGAATTCTTGATAATGAACCGGGTAACTCTTACTTCACGTTTTTGGCCAATGCGCTAAAACAAAAACCGTAATATTAATAATTGCCATTAAAACGGAATAAAAATGCAAATGATAATGTAGTTTTGACCTACATGAACACGATCTACTGCCTGATAAATTAATTTCATAATTAAAAAAGATGTTAAAAAATTTTGAATAATGAAAGAACAAATAAAATAAAGTTAAATAATTAATTACTTGATCTTCAATGCTAGAGTTCCACCAAGGATCCTATATATATTAAATAGATGTGTATATATAAATTTTTTTAAGTAATTAACATCTATAATATTTTACAATCAAATATTTAACTTGAAAACTAATTCTTACCATCAAGAATGCTCTACTTGCAGCAGTAAGATTCAATCCAACACCACCTGTTAAATTCATTTAGCGAAGTAAATTTTATGCTTCTTGCTACTATCACGTTTTGTATATGATAAAGTTCTTACCAGCACGCAAAGATATTAATATTATATCAATTCCAGGCTTTTTAAAGTCTTTAAGAACGCGTTCTCTGTCAGTTTGTTGCTGAGTGCCATCCAATCTAACAAAAGAAAAATTCTCTTTTGTAAGAACGTCGCCAATCAAATCCAGCATTGATGTACTATAATAAAATATTATTTAAAATTCATAAGAAAATTGTATAAATATAAATAAATATATTGCTACTAATAAATCATATTTACAATTGTGAAAAAATAACACATTTCTCTGTCATTTTGTTATCCTGTCGTAAATTATTTAGTCTACGTAGAAGAGCGCCTAATTTGGCCGAGAGTTTTAGATTTGCGTCACTTTCATCAAACGTCGACATGTCGTTATTTTCATCATTTGTATTGGATGAGGCCGCTTTCTCATCATTTTTTTTATTAATGTCCAATAAATCATTTTCAGTAATTGGTCCGCGACGACATACAGGACATTGGCCCGATTTTCCTAGGAGTTCTTGATTCTATTAAATACAATGAAATTAATGACTGCATTTGTTTTGTCGTCATGTAAATAAAATTAACCAACCTGAAAATATTCCATAATACATTGTCGACATGCGGAATGCATACACGGCATTAAAACACCATTTACCAAATTATCATAACAAATCGGACATTCCCTATTGGAAAAATCCTCTCCATATTTTAATTTTTCCAGCATTTCAATCTGGTAATTTGCAGAATTACCACGTTCGCCATAATTTGTCATAAATCTCTCGATCAAATGATCTATATTAAGATTGCCCTCTTCGTCAAAAGCTGATTCATTTACACCTTCTTCATCATCCTCGTTAATAACTGAAAAATAAGTTTATGTTAATGACTCATTAAACTTTTTTTTTCGAAAATAGAGAATACTAATTACTTGTGTGTTTAGAAATCGCAAGGATCGGATGATCGCAGACTTGACGTAACCTGTGAGAAAAAAAAATTTTTTTTTTAAAAAAAACTGTATGTATAAATTTAAGTTTTATTAAATTCTGTTTCATCTTACCTAACTAACAATTGAAAAATGTGAGCGTAGTGACTTAAAATACTACCAGATTTAACGTAGTAATTAAATTTGGTCTTGGAGTGAGTATAAATCGAATCATAGATATCTTGTTCTTCTGGAGAGAATTCAAGGTATTCTATTTCAACCTCTTTACTAGGCAAATCGATGATTGGTTGGCCATTAATGTCTCTCATGTTCTTTGTACGGCGTAAAACTAAAGGTTCCAAAACACCTTGAACCACTCCCAAAGCGCGAATATCTTTCTTATCAAATCTGAGATAATAATTTTAAAAAATTACTATAATTTTATATAATATACTTATAAATAATATAATTACTTACGGGTTTTGAATAAACTTTTTCCAAAATTGAAAATTGCTCCACGGTTCATGACGAAGAAAATGAACTAGGGAAAAGATATCTTCAAGACGATTTTGAATAGGCGTACCTGATAGTAATTAAATAAAGAATTTTGAATATAACTTTTATGCATTCTTAATAATATATTTTATTGTTACTTTAACTAACCAGTTAATGCCCATCTTCTTTCTGCTCTCAAAGAATAACAAGCCTTAGCTGTCTTTGTGCTTCTGCTCTTGATTACATGTGCTTCATCTAAGACGACTCTAAGAAACTCAACTATACAGATCATTACACGTGTGAGAAAGAATTCATATATAAAACAAAAATTACGATTTCTTTAGCTCAGTATTCTTACCATTAAATAATGGTGAAGTAGTCGGTTTATTTTCTTCATCAGAGAACTCTGACATCAAAACACCGTAAGTCGTAACGAGAACATCCGGTAAATCTGCTCTACGAGCTCGAATCGCTTTTAAATCCCAATTTCTCTTCTTGCCATAATACACTTCTACGGTCATGGTGTCCTGTGCGGAAACATTATATACTTCATCGCGCCACTGTGAAAGTAAGCTCATTGGACAGACTATGAGTGTTGTCTTTATTGCCGGATATGCTTCATACGTAGATAAAGAAACAGGACGGATTGTTGAAGGTTTAACATCCTCGGTCAAGTCAACGACATCAACTTGATTCAAGTCAACATCAACTTGATTTGGGTCGATTGTGGGATATTTAACGGAATGAATAAGACTTAATATTTCAATAGTTTTGCCTAAACCCATTTCTAATTGTAACGAACGAGGATATATTGTAAGATTAAAGACATTGTAAAATCAAGATAAGTAATAAATTAACATACCATCTGCTAAAATTCCTCCCCTACATTGATCAACCTTCTGAAAATCAAGAGAAAGTTCGCCTATAAAATTAAAATAATGTCAATTAACCTTAATTTGGTATTTATCATCATAAGCACAAAAAAAAAATACCTGTATAAGGATTGAAATAAAATAATTTATTTGAAAAACCATCGTCAATTATTTCACCCGTCTCATGATTAATTTGGACAGGAAATTCATATTCCTCCCACAAAGGATGTAAGGATGTTGGCGTTAACTGATCTGGATCAAGCATTTCTTTCGAAAGCATCCAATGAAGAGCCTGCTTTTGATATCGTCTTAAACTATAAAGAAAAGTGTGTGCTGGTGGTTCAGCCTCAGGAATGTTCATGTCTGCCATTTGTGCTTTTTCATATAACGCGTTCAATTGTTGATCATTGATACTCGGACCTTCTTCGTTATTAGAAGGGAAAAGAGATTGTTGGATACTTGAGGCTGATTTAAAACCTGTCCACTCCTCATTTTGGAAATGCTCTTCAATTTTTTCGGCATCTAAAGTACCAGCTAATTTATGCTCCTGTGTTAACACGCTAGATTGTTTAGCTTTCATAACACATTGTTCAAACGCCGATAATAAAGCAATTTTACGATCATTAGCCTTATGGTCTGCAACTGAACCAGGACCAGATGAGATATGCTTATTATTTTCTCTCGAAATTGTAAAAATTGGCTCACGCGAAAATGCAGCATGCTACAACCACAATATATGATAAAAAAGAGCGAAATAGACAAAAATTTAAAAGATTAATTCTCTAAAATGATATATCAATAATAAATTATATATACCAAAATATAAATCTTCATCTCAATGTACATTTCATCATTATATTCAATCTTTTCACCACAATTATCATTACCAACAAGTAATATTTGACCTTCAAATTCGCATACTCCAGCATCGATCAAATTAGAAACCATAAAAGAAATCTTACTATCATTAATTATTCCAAGTTGTGTCCCATCCGTAGATTTGAACTTCAACACAGTATGTTGCCAACATGATTGAAGTTTTGAACGTTTCCTTCCTCTAATCGGTTTTTGATAATATACTTGACTTTCAAAAGTAATCTTTTCCTTAAAATTTATAACATTTTCACCCATAATAGTTGACTGACCAGAAACCACGATGCTCCCAAGGTACTTTCGTTCCCAGTCACGTGCTATGTGCTTTCGTGCCTTTTTACGAGAAACTTCAATTTCAGGAGAGTGGTAATTGGTAGATTTTACATTTCGACGTGGAGTTGTTGGAGTATTCATGTCCAAATTTTCTTTGTTCATATTATTATCAAAATAACTATTTATTGCCTTTTCTAGGTTACCACTAGAAGCGTTCCACAAATTTTCCAAGACAGGAAGCGAAACCTCAGAGCCTACAATACTTTGTAACTCGCGTAAATTAATGTCAGTAGAAAATTCAAAGTTCCTATTATCGCCTGGAAACGTGTCAAGGAAACTTGAGTTTGAAGAACTTGAGGATTCACCGTTGCTATAAAAGTTATTTCCAAAGTCATACGCCATGACTGCTTTATAAAGTTTAAACAGAGGAGTTTAAAATTGAAGCTTCAAATTTTATCAATTTTGTCTTGAAACAAAATATTGTATATGTTATGACTTATGACGCAGCAAATTTATAATTGATTACTACGCGTCTCTATTACGATACTATTGATACTATTATTAGACTATTTATAAAAAAAGTTTATGCATGTATCATGTGTAATATTAATGATCTATACAGATTCCCAAAAATATAAATTTCCGCTACGAGTCTATACTAAAAATGTCGACGAAACGCGCCGATCATTTACTCGTTTAAATTTACTGCGGTATCAATTATAGTAATTTTTTTGTCGCGAATTATAAATTACCTATTTTAAGTATTTTACTTAATATCTATTTTTCTTTGTTTTTTTTTATTTATAAACGATAACGGAGAACTAAACTAATTGACGGATCTTTAATTGGTAATATATTGAAAGAATTAAATTTTAAACCAATGAAATGAGTAACATGCATTGTCAAAGAAAATGCATTCATTAATCACAAATAAACAAATAAAAATGCAAAAAAGTTGATATGCAATGAATAAACATTGTCATAATAAATATAAATCGCGTTAGATTGAATTTGTATGATCAAAATTAAATATAAAAGGCTTTATTTTTCTTTTTCTCTTGAAAGCAACATATAATCATGTTAAAATTATTACCTTGTATTATCTAAATGAAGTTGATAAATAAATTGATGAAAATGAAAATAATATAGGCTGAAAATGCTGAAAATATAAATATCCTTCATTTAATTTCCAAATATAATAATAATGAATACTTTTTTAACTCAATAACAATTCAATTGTGGTAGTGGTCGTGTAACCTATCGTTAAATGACTACTTACAAGGTTATAGACTTTTAGATAACAGTTTTTACGCCTGTTTGTCATCAGTGTTATGGTGTGTAATCAATAAAACGCGCTTTTATCATATAATCACATTATTTAAACGTGATATCTCGTTCATGAGTTGAATTAGCCAATATGGAAAAGAATGAATATCTGCATTTATAAACTATTCCGTTATTGGTTACCCATTTTCAACTAGCGAGTAACGAATGCATAGTTATCTTTGGCGTATTAGATTTGAATCATGAGTTTTGATTATTTTAATTCCAGCTGAAACATGCCCAAATCTGGTAAAACTAAATGGACGCATATTCGCCGGCCAGGAAAAGAGGAAACCTATTTCTTAATATGGTTTTAACGAATTGCCCCGACCATTGATTATATAATATTAGAGCATATGATATTCTTTTTAACCAATAAACTATTGTATAAAATTAAATTAAATTGGTCATATGTAATTAATAAATTTGGAGCTTATTTTTATACTATAATAATGTATTTTAATAAGTTTTAAATTTTTATTCTGCCAAAAATTATGTCAGGGTTAAAATTATGTGGTTGTGATACATTTGCTATTTGTTAGACAAAGCTTTTTAAATTAACACGAGTCGAATTCATTCTTAAAAATATAATAATTCTTTCAACTTAAGTTTAATGGTTTTGTCAGAGCCATATTCGGAACCTTTAAGTCCACCACCTCCTTTTACAGAACTAGCCCAAAATGATTACATAGAAGCAGGTTCTCAGGTAGTTTATGCTTTAAAATAAGATTAAAAATTTATAATTATATAAATATATATTTTATTATTATTACTTTATAGTAATTGTAACAAGTACTGGCACCTACTATATTTTAATAAATCTTTTCCCTAGAACAGATTTGCTCATGATAGAGCACCAGCATACTCTTTATATTCGTCAACCTCTGGTTCATGCTTCGAACTTTATACTCTTGGCAATGTTCTTTATACCAAAGATAAATACCTTTGTGGACATATCCTTGATGATCGATATTTTCTTTTAGGAACTAATGTTGGTTTAGATTTTATAGATTTATCTCTACCTTCTGAAGAGCAAATACCAAAAAGACTTATACATAATGTACGATTTAAACAATTATCAGTTTTACAAACTGGCAGATATGGGGCTTTATTAACTATAGCTGGAAAAAATAATCATATAAGAAGTTATGACTTATGTAGTTTACGTTTATTAATACGAAGTAAAATGTCACATCGATTGTCTCAAGTGAGTCCTAAAACACCCACAACTCCGAGGTCACCAGGGAGTCATGGAAGAGCGAGATCTGTGGATTCTATATTTGAACCAGAGTTTTCATTTCCGGATCGAAATTCACAAGTTAGAAGATCTATGACTATGGAAGATTTGAACTCAAATGTCAATTATTCTTCACCTACAGGTTCTTCAAACAATTTACAAGTAAATGGAATAGTAAATAATTCTTCGGCATCATCATCAGCTAGCTCCTCTAGACCTTCAAGTCCCCTTCCTCCTCGACATCGTCGACGGCATACACGACATTCTAGTCATCAGAATCCACTTTCATTAATAACAAATTCTGTTGCATCAGTAGAGGCACACGAAAGACATCAAAATCTTCCTGTTCAATGGGCATTAGATTATTTTAAACTTCCTAGTACAAGAATGGCGCTTTCATTCGTAGTAAGAAGTGGACCGACAAGAACTTATCTTGCCGCACTTTCGAAACAAAATATTTTTTTATTTGAGTTAGATTATGGTGACGTAACGAGAGAGCCAGAATTTGTACATACGAGAACATATTGGTTACCCCAAACTCCAAAATTTCTTCAAATGTCTATGCACGAAGATCAATTAATTGACATCATTGCGGTTTTTCATACAGAAGTTATATGCATAGGCATTGAAGATGCACGAGTGAGAGAAATTTCAGTTTCAGAACTACGTTCTTCTAATACGAATAATAAACCAAATGATCCAGAAAATATGACATGGCAGACGTTTACGCAACTTCCTTGGATTCCAACTCTTGATCCAGAATTTGTTTCAGAAAGCTTCACAATTCCACCTCCATATAATTTAATAATAAATGAGGATCCTTCTGCAATGCTAAATCCTATACCCGTATTTGAGACTGGAAATATTGATTCTTTGGACTCTCCAAACGCACCTTCTTTATTTTTCGCTACATTTGGTTCTAAATCAATGATAGTTGACTCTAAAGGTAGACCATTTTCTACAATTGTTTTTCAATGGACCTATCCACTTATACATGTTGAATTTCTAAAACCCTCACAAACTGGAGGAGAATCCTATATAGTTGGATTTGGTAAAAATATGGTTGAAGTAAGAAGTTTTAACACTGGAAGGATAGTTGAAAATGTTGTAAGAGGAGTTGATGTTGTTTATTTGGGGAGAGGACGAAATAACAGAGATGTTATTTGGGGATGTTCATTTAATAAAAGTTCAAAAAGTGTATGTTTATATCGTTTGGATGGTCCACTCAAATAATTTTTTTGGTTTTTTTTTTTTTTTAAAAAAAAAATGATATATACACACATTATTTGTTTATCCGTAAGTAATAATATGAAAATATTTATATACTAATTTATTTATATATATATAATGTCATATAATATTGAATATTTTTTATTCGCTTAATTTATTCATTTCATAAAAACAGATTGTTATATACGTTCTCTTGCCTCAACTTTCCAATTGATATAATTTATTTGTTCCTTCTTGTTCCCTTTCAATATCAATTAATGTTTTTAATTCTTTAAATAATTTCAATTTGTAATCTTTTTGATAATGAGAAACTCTACCACTTGTAGAAGGCATTGCAGATATTTTAGTATATCCATCATCATCCCAAAATATCTTTTTTGATTGTAGCCCAAACTTGAATGGTAAAGATTTATTACTATTATTTGTATTAGAATCTTTACATGATCTTTCATATGCTTCATATGCGCATTTTCCCACAAAACCTAAAATTTTTGGCTTATATAATTTTACTTTATTAATGAGCGAAGGAATTCCATCCATCATTTCACTTTTATTCAAATCCTTTAAAGAATTTTAAATAATTATTAGATATATTATTTATAAAAAAAAATTGTATAATTAAAAGTATTCGACAACTTACAGCTGAAGATCGACTCGTTCTGGAGCAAACATTGATAAGTCCAATTCGAAATCTTTTTGGTAATTCTGCATCATTTTCATAATTTACAACTTCATTGTTGGTTAATCCTAATTATATTAATAATATAATTAAGAAAATTGCGACAAAAAAATATATATATAAAATAACATAATTTCCTATTACCGCTTTCAACTAGACATGGATAAAAGTGGTTTGTTGGTCCAGAAAAGTGATGCCCAGTCTGTGCGCTAAGTTTTAATGAATTTAAACTTTCAGAATTATTACTTTATAAAACTTATAATTCATTATGAAGTAAAATTCACCTTCTTATACCAGGATTAATTCCAACAAATAAAACTATAAAAGGTAACTTAATAGACCTTCTTTTACAATAAAATTAAATACTCTTTTACGTACCTAACAAATTATGATCTATTATATCGGGCAATGCGTGGTCTAGAGGATACTGCGAAACTTTAGAAATCGAAAGTTTGCGCTTTTTTATTTGCTGTGGATAAGGATCTTTACGCGTGGCTTTACTACGCGTTTTAGGACTTAAACCGGTTCGTTCTTTGTTGATGCTCGTGGTTTTCATGTAAGCAAATTTTTCAATAAAACTTTTGAAATCAACATTATCTAATGCTTCAGACATTCTATCATCAGTTTTTTGTCTGAAGCATTATTTTATCAGTTATCCTTAAAAAATTAAAAAGTCGAGAATTTCATCATGTAGTATGTAATAACGTGATCTTATATCGGAAGATACCGTAATCGTGTTACAACTCTTTTTATAAAAAACCATATGTTGTTAGGACGACTTATAATGGAAAAACAAACACCAACAACACCACAATTTACAACTTCAACTTCTCATTTACCTAGACCGCCAATAGATCATGAAAAAGCTCTAGATACACTTGAAAATGATTTTAAAAGAATGGACAAAATGTTTGCTAGCGGAGAGATGAGAGTTTTTGGTAAAGTAAATCAAATTTATTTTTATTATTTAATTTTGTTATTGATTGATGGTTTTTTTTTTTATATGTCACCAGGAAGAAATTCGGACAGTATGTTTAAAGAATTAGATTTAATACATAAAAAACAAGTTTCTTTAGCCATTGAACATATTTCTTTAGAAAGGTTGCCAGATGAAGAGATGTAAATATTATATATATGTAATGGTGATTTATTATTTTAAAAGGAATGATGATGAATTAAGACTTTAATTTAGGCCATTAGGAAGTGAAACAGCAGAAAATTCCGAAGAAAATTTTAAACGTAATTCTGAACGTTTTACAAAGAAAGAACAAGATTTAAATAATTTAATGACAAATTTAAATAATTTATTGGGAAAGGTAAAGTGAAACTTCTCTCTATGAATATTTATTATGAATGTTATATTTATGAATTTTTAATTTCAAGTTGGAAGATTTAGGACAATCGATGAAAATTTCAGAGCCAAAGAAATAAATGTTTTTAAAGTTTCAAAATTAATGAATGATACAACCTGACAACGATGTAACTTCATAGTTAAGTATAAGTAATAGACATTACATAGTTATGGTTATTCATCAATCTTTGGTTTCAGGTTAATCCATCCTTAAAATCATTACCAATAGAGCCAAATATGTAAGCAAAGCTATACCACTTGTTAATGCAACATAACCTCCGCTTGTAACGAATGGTTTATTTTTTTCAAAAATGTCAAAATTTTCTATATTATTTCGTATTCTTAAAGCTGAAATAATTAACAATGCCACCCCAAATGCTATGTAAACAAATCCAATAGTATAAAAATCTTCATCAAAGATACGCAAAATAATAAGGGCGAACCCGAAAGACGATAGACATGTTCTCCCATACGCTCCTTCGAATGTCCTTTGTCGGGCTATTACAAAAAGAGAGAATATTATTTATATATATTTTTTTTTTTGAAAAAAAAAAAGACTTAATAAACCGATTTAATTGATTTAATTACTACCTCTGTTAAGTTATAAATGAAGTGAAAAAAAAAAATTAAATTAAATTTTTCGTATACAAGAAACAACGCTTGATAATAGGCATACCTCAATTCAACAATTTCAGCATTAGTCAATTGGGATGAATCAAGTCGGTATGAAACCATATTCAATTGTTCATATACGTCTTATTTTTCCTGATTTATTTTTATCAAAAAAATTTTAGAGTGGCGTTGAAAGCAATGCCATCCATCTAATTATATTAATGCATCCTGCTACACAAATTCATTTTTTCTACCTATTTTGGTTATTCTGCTTTTACTATTTGATATTTTATAATGAAAATCTTTCTTTTTTATAATAATTATAAATTTATTGATAATTTATTTTTTAATTAATTAGTTTGATTTTTTTATCAAACTTTCGATAATTTGTATGCCACGATGTCCTCTGATCGGATGTTCTACAAAAGATTTTTGTTCTGCTAATTCTACTGCTATTTCTTGTGGAGTTCGTTTTGTTGCTTTAGCTTTGTCTAGAATTAATTTTGTACAATTATATATCGAATTCTATAAAAAAGAAGTCAATTTCGAATTAATTTGACTTTTATATATTATTAATAACAGTTATTTCACGGATCTCATTATCACCTCGACCTCGCCGTGATGATCAATGATATCTACGGCTTCCCGTGAAATAACTGGTTTATACCATTTTTTAACTTATCCTTTTAAACAAACATCGCCCACGGACGACTATGGTATAAAAACAGATAATAAATACATGATTTACGAACCTCCCATGAATCGCCTAAATGTTTTTCAATAAATGGATCGTCATCAATATAACCGTATTGCTCGTCAGCACAGTTGACAATACCTAAAAAAAATTGTTATTAATTATAACTTATTTAAATAAATAATTTAATAAAACTTACCCATCCGATTAGCCAAAAAGTCTGATTTATAAAAAGATTAATTTAGATTAAGACGTAAGAACAAATTACGCGACAATAAAAGTTTTTGCATACCTGGTACATAAATGATTCCTCGTTCAGCAAGTAGCTTATCATCTTTAGCCGGATCTAATTAAAGACATTTAATAAATTGAATAAAAACAAATGTTTCGTAAATTGGATTTATTTAATTTATTTACCTCCTAATTGATTATTGGCTGCGCCACAAACGATGTTTGTTTTAATATTTTTGATTGTTTGTGGAGTTAATATATTACCAATTCCACAAGGTGAAACGGCGTCAACATCTATTTTAATAAAAAGGTAAATACGTTTTAAAAGGAAATAATTAAAGCTTTTGAACGTAGCTTACCTTCAAATAAAAGCGAATGATCATTTTGCTTAGTCAGTCGAAACTCAATCTTGCCATCATAAAATTCTTTAAATCTTTTTTCTGCAACTTGAAGTTTTTGTGGATCTACGTCACAAGCAATAATGCGCTTGACGCGTTTTTCAAGTAAAAATTGTATAAAATTAGAACCGACGTGGCCAACTCCCTTTAAATTAATTGGTAAGATGTAAGGATAAAATTGCTTAATAAGTGGTAATTCTACATTTCTACATTAACGTTACCTGAACAGCAATCGTAGCACCTTCTAACGATTTTCTACCTATGTGTGAAAAAGCGGCTTCAAGTGCACGAACAACTCCTCTTGCCTTTATAAAAAATGATATAATGTAATAATTAAATAAACAAGTTGAATGTGATTGGGAAGGAAATAACATAATACCGTTGGTGAACTTGGATTTCCGCTGCCACCAAACTATGAAAATAAAAGTGAATGGATAAATTAGTAAAGACAACGAAATAATAATCTTTAATAAATTTTAGCTTAGACTTTCTAAAAACTTACTCCTGGTGGAATACAGGTAGTAAACCGTGTTTTTGAAAAAATTGCAGACATATCTTCATCTTTCGTTCCTACATCTTCAGCTGTCACATAACAACCCTTCAACGAACTTTGAAAAAAAATATTTATTTTTTATGAATTTAAATGGTTTTAATTTTTAAACATGTTGAATCAATTTCTATACCTAATAAAAAGACCGTATTCTTCAAAGACTAAACGACGTTGTAAAGGTGTATCTCCTTCCTCTCTATCAATTAAAATTATTTTTAATATATCAAAAAAAATTAAAAAATTTTACAATTAAATTACTTACAATCCAACTCCAGAGTTTCTAGCTATTACACCTTTCCCTCCTCCCCACCTAATTATAATTATAATAGTATAATAGTATACCAAACTTATTTATCAAACTTTTAATAAAGATATTACAAACCATAATTCGGCAAGAGCATTTTTATGTGTCATCGCTCTAGATAAACGAATCCCGTCGCGGAACCAATCTTCTATACTGTTATAACTCCAATTTCGAGCACCACCTGCCGCAGCACCCCGACAAGTCCTATGTGCAAATGCTCCCTAAAGAAACTCGATTGTCACGTGAAAAATTTATAATCTAAATGTGCGATAAATGAAATAGGAAATACCTGCAATACACCAGATTTAGGACCGATCTTTTTTTTAGATAATTTTTTTTATAAATTTAGAAAGGTTCAAAAGGTATTTGAAATTTTTCAATACATAAAGTGCAATTTTCTAAGAATATATTCGAACCTGGCCAAAAATTCCTTCATGTTTATCAAAATCAATTCCTTCTTGAAAAAAATAACTTTTGTTTCAGGAAAAGTAAACGTACTTTATTATAAAGTTAAAAACTTTTTTTATTTTTAAGAAAAAAATTTTTCCCTTACTCTCCAATAGGTTGTAAAATGGGATGAGATGCTATAACTCTCCTTGTTTTTCGATTAAAATGTAAGTGAAATTTAGTAATTCCGTGAGACTTCAGAACCGAAATAAAACTATTTGTTACAAATAAAATTTATTTTGTATAGACGGATTTATGTAATTAATGACTAAAGTCACCAAACTTAACTAGATAAGATAAAAAACAAGTTATTTATACCTTTTTGGGGAATGTGAGAGAATTGAAGGTTTTATTAAATTTGATGACATGATAAAGATAGGAAAAAAAAAAAAAAATTCCGTTTTTTTTTGAATCTCTGATGATCTCTTTTATACAGTATTTAATAATTTAACTGCGCCAACGTAAAACCTAAATTACCTAGATTAGGTAGTTACCGTTAATAATTTTATTTAGTGGTTGCTTTTGGTTTTTTTGTTCCGTATTTTGAGCGAGAAGTAGTTCTATTTGGTACACCAGCAAAATCATAAGCTCCCCTAATAAGATGATATCTAACACCGGGCAAATCTTTAACACGTCCGCCTCGCACAAGAACAACACAATGCTCACTCTACATAAGAAATATTTTTTTATAAAAAAAAAATTTATCAAATCAAATAAAAAGTGTCTTCCTTACCAAGTTATGACCTTCTCCCGGTATATATGCTGTCACAAATTTGCCAGTGGAAAGTTTAACACGAGCAACTTTACGTGAAGCAGAATTTGGCTTCTTTGGTTTTGTGGTGTAAATTTTATTACAAACTCCTTTCTTTTGAAAATTTCCTTCCAAAGCGGGTGATTTTGAAAGTTTAGTTCCGGGCTTTCGTATTCCACGCATTACTTGATTAAGTGTAGCGTATGAAGCTGAAAAAGGTTGTTTATACGAACGAGCAGAAAGAAAAGCTGTTGCTGTTGGTAATGAAATAGGAACAGAAGAAATGGGTTGAAATAATTTCGCGCGTAAAAAATTCATTTGTCACGTGTTTTTAATGAAAATAAGTTTGACGAAAGAAGGTGATATCAGATATAAGTTTCGCTTTTAATAACAAAAATTTTTTTTACCCACGTGATTTTCCTGAATTATCAAAGGCCGAAATTAAACCTTAGGAAATAAGTTCTGTGTAACACAAGTTAGCGAAACTTCATTAAATAAATTTTTTAAATGATAATCAAAAGTACTAGATCAATTAAAATATTAGAAACGCGTAGGTTTCAAACTTTTTTTTTTTTTGGATCCACAAATGATGCAGTAGTATGGTGTGGCTTTGCAAACCAGTGGATCGCATATCAAACTGTTTATTTATTTATATCTATATTCATGTATTTGCTTGCTCCTTAATACTAATTACAGGTTATCAATCCGTTTTCTCAATTATCCTTCACAACTTTCCTCCATTTTCACCATCTTTTCGCACACCTCTACCTATACTCACTAGTCACCACTCCTTTTTTCCTTTTTCGCGGTTAGTCAAACTTTTAATCAAAAATTTAATAAAAAACTATTTTTGAATAATTGTGTAAAAATAAAAATTTAACATTCCTAGTGTGAGCTTTTCAGTAGACTTAAGTTTTAAATATTTTTTTTTTCTAAAAAAAGAAAATAAACATGGCTCCCCGTATGCCAATACAGTTAACCTCTCTTCCGACTGAAATCCTTTTCCTTATAATCTTTTGTATTGACAATGCTAAAGATCTACGTTCTTTGTCTTCTACCAATCATTTATTTCGTACCTTAACAGGTCCACATACTGTAACAGCTCAATTATGGTTTGCGAAACAAAGTCGAGATATTCCACCCGAGAATCTCTTAAAATTAGCGAATGAGTGGCGTTTTCCTTTAGATACTGACTTTGCCAAAAAGCTAATCACTATAAATGCACCTCCGGAGCCACCAGGAATTTCTAGTGAACTACCTGGCCCAAAAAGAGCCTTGAGAAGACAAGAGAGAGTAATGCATATAGTGGAAAGATTTAGTCTATTTTTGCATAATATGTTGACCGTAAACTATTATTATACGCATGACTGGGATTCTCTTCAAAGGGGTTTGTACAATTTTTTAACCAAATTTAAAATACATGTAAACGAAAGTTCATTAACTAATTGTTGGGTATGCTCATATTTGGTCAAATATAGTTGCAGATTCAGTTGAATGTTATTTAGAGGATTTGGGTTGGGTGCAATTTTATCGTGGACAAATGGATCGTGGGATCGATTCGATGATGGTTTCAACGGTCCAAGCTGATCAAGAATTTGAAGCTGTAGCTTTTGATGATTTTACTAAAAAATTGAGAGCAGATATTGCAGCTGTATCCACAATTACAACTTCAAGTTCTAGCAAGGACACTAGTACAAATAATAGTAGACATAATAGCAATATTGATTCTTCTAATAATAATGATAATATTAGAAGTAATGAACTCTTTGCATCACTTTCTCCTGAACCCGTATATCTTAAATGGACTAGCCTTATTCAAGATCAGCTTAATTTCTTTTGTTTACAACAATACATTATGGACAAATTCAAACCTCCTTCAAAATGGCAACTCGCGGAATATTTGTCTGTGGTCTTGTTTGAGAATATCTAAGGACTTGAACAAATGATCTTTAAAAGAGACATTCGGAAAAGAGACAGTTATTTTAAATAAATATTTTTTTGTCGAGTGAAAAAGATAAGATTAACAAGAAAAAAAAATGAAAATGAAAAAATGGAAAGTTAGATAACCTGTATTTCATGATGAAATATTTTTTTTTTTTCTACAAACTAATTGTAACAATTTTTTTTACATTTTTTTTTTTTATTTTTCCTTTTTTTTTCGAAGAATCATTTTAACGGTTTTTAATGTCTATAATTTCTTGTTTATATCTTTTTCACTCAATTGAGAACTATTCTGTTGTGGAGGAAACATAAATTTTGAAAAAAAGAAGAAAAAGAATCTATAATGGCTAGAAATAACCTTGATTAAAATATTTTTGATTAAATCGAGGTTATATGTAAATAGCTCTATTTTTTTTAA